GAAGCCAAAGACAATTGCTGATATGGAACCAATCACAAGTACACCAAGTCACCCACTTGAAAAACCCGTTCAGTTCTGTGCTTGTTAGCTTGAACAGCCATCCAATTTTGAGCAGCCAACAGGTTTGCCTTCAAAAAAGATAGGACGTGGTTTCGTTCTTGTAAACACCGATCAACCATGTCAAGCTTGGTAATGCCAGCTTCATAAACCACTTCATAAGAATTGAGTTTAGTTGCACTGTGAAAAGCCGTATTATAGCTATACTCTGCCCATGACAGCCAGTTGGCCCATTTCTTGGGTTGGAAGCTACAAAAACACCTGAGATACGTCTCCAAACACCGGTTAACCACCTCTGTTTGACCATCTGTTTGTGGATGGTAACCCAAGCTAAAACACAGAGAAGAACCCTGTAGTGTAAAGAATTCTTTCCAGAATTTACTGATAAAGATGGGATCCCTATCTTACACTATAGAAGCAGGCATTCCATGGAGTTTAAAGATGTGTTCAACAAAGAGGTGTGCCATCGAGACAGCCGTGTAGGGATGTGAAAGGGCAAGAAAATGGGCATACTTGGAAAGTCTGTCAACAACCACCCAAATAACAGTTTTACCTTTGCAAGGAGGTAAGCCAATGATAAAGTCCATAGAAATGTCCGTCTAAACTCGAGAAGGAATAGGCAAAGGTTGAATTAATCTGGCAGGAGCCAAAGTCTCATATTTCTGTTGTTGACAAGTGACATAATTTGCTACAAAGTCCTTAATATCCTTCTTCATACCAATCCAATAGAAAGACCGAGAGAGTCTTTTATAGGATTTAAGAAACCCAGCATGGCCTGCAATGGCACTTCAATGATGTTTGTCAAACACCTTATGCCTCCAAAAACTAGTAGGACTCAATACTATTCTACCTTTGTATTGGAGAAACCCATTGTTTACCTTGTACTTCAAGTTGCGAATCAAAGTTGAATCATTGAGTTGTAAAACTTCCTGAATTTTTTACACAATCCAAGTGTCTTGTTCAAGATGCCTCCGCAAGTCATCCAACCAACTTAGATAAGGGTAGGAAATAGCAGCCAGTTGCATGTCACAATTCTGAGAATTGATATCAACAGGCAATCTTGAAAGGGCATCTACCACTTGGTTATCACAACCCTGTTTATATTGAATTTCGTAATCAAAACCCAATAATTTAGAAACCTATTTTCTGCTGAAATGGAGTATGTGCTCGATTTTGCAGAAAAAATTTAAGGTTGTAATGGTCCGTTTTAATGATAAAATGTCTCCCAACCAGATATGATTGCCATTTTTTCACTGCATGAATAATCGCCATCATCTCCCGTTCATATGCAGATAACGATTGATTCCGAATACTCAGCGCCTTGCTGGTAAAAGCAATAGGCTTGCCATTCTGTTGTAACACAGCACCAATGCCAAACTCAGATACATCACTCTCAATGATAAAAGGCTGTGTAAAATCAGGGAGAGCCAATACCTGCAGAGAAAGCATGGATGTTTTCAACTCATTGAAAGCAGTGGTGGCTTCCGAAATCCAATGAAAGTTATCTTTCTTAGTTAAAACTGTGAGAGGACTGATGATCTTCCCAAAATCAGGAATAAACTTTCTATAATATCCAGTCAACCCGAGAATCCCCGAAGTGCCTTCACGGATGTAGGTATTGGCCAATTGGCAATGGATGCCAATTTACTAGGATCAGTTGCAACCCCATTTTTGGACACAATGTGACCCAGATATTCAATTGTCGATTGTTCAAAAGCACACTTAGATTTCTTCACAAACAAGGTATGATCTTGTAATACTTGAAAAACCACGCATAGATGATTTAAATGAGATTCCCAAGAGCTGCTATATACTTAAATATCATAAAAAAAAAACCAAAATAAATCATCTAAGATAGGGCCTGAAGATCTCATTCATAAGACACTGAAATGTTGCAGGAGCATTAGTTAAACCGAAAAACATAACCAAAAACTCATAGTGGCCATCATGTGTTCGGAAACCAGTCTTCTCAATGTCATTGGGATGCATTCTGAGTTGGTGATACCCAAATCGCAGGTCCAATTTCAAAAAAAAACTGAGCCCCAAATAGTTCATCAAGCAGCTCATCAATCAATGGGATAGGAAACTTGTCTTTAATTGTAATATGGTTGAGTCCACTATAGTCCATACACATTCGCCAAGTCCCCTCTTTTTTTTTTTACTAAGATAACTGGGGAAGAATATGGACTATTACTGATTCTGATAAACCCAGCCTTTAACAATTCATGCACACACTTTTCAATTTCTGTCTTCTGCAAAGGTCCATATCAATAGGGCCTCATGCTTGGGGGCTTACTACCTTCTAATAAAGGAATGCGATGGTCATGTGACCTGTGAGGTGGAAGAGTGTTTAGAGTCAAGAAAACTCCCTCAAATTCTTGTAATAGCTGCTGCAATTCCACAGATTGTTGATCAGTAAGTGAGTCTTGCGTCTAAAACATGTCTTCAGTCTTGATTTGAAACAAGAAAGCTCCAATGGACGACTCTTGTTGCATAAGTTTCTCCATTTGGAGAATAGAGACATCTTGAAAGTGCTCTGTAGGAGTTTCAGGACTAGAAAGACAATACATCACCCCACCCTTTGTGAACTTCATATACAATTTATCAAAATCCCAAATGACTGGTCCAAGAGTTCGCAACCACTGCACCCCTAATACAATGTCACAACCACCTAAAGCCATAGCATACAAGTCAGTTATACACTAATAATTCTGAATTTTTAAAGAGATAGCCCCCACGGATCCAATTGTATTAACTTTTCCTCCATCGGCAATCTTAACACTAAAAGAGTGAGATGTATCAAGATGACCATTAATCTTCTTTACCAAAGAAGAATCAATGAAATTATTTGAACTACCAGAGTCAATGAGAATTATCACAGGGCAATTTTTAATGCAACCTAAAACTTTCATAGTCTTGATAGATGTAGGTGCAGGAGTGCCAAAAAGAGCATAAGAGGTGATTTCTGGTTCAAGATTCTCATCATCAGAGGATTCATTATCATCAGGAGTGTGAATATCGATAAGCAAAAGCTGTTTTTTCTCACAGGAATGACCTCTAGCGTACTTTTCCTTACAATGAAAGCATAACCCATGTTTCTTAGAGTATTCTACTTGTTCAGGAGTCAGTCTTCTAACAATATCAGGCTTGATCTTAATTTCTCCATTAGTACCAATATTAACAGTCTGTAATGAAGTACGAGAAAAAGTATTAACAAAAGAACGAGGAAAAGATTTGACCTTTAAATCGGACAATTTCGCATCCAGCTGTTGTGCATACGCAGTTGCTTCCAGGACGTCCCTGGGTTTCAAGATCTTCACATCATGACGCATTTCAAATTTGAGACTGCCAATTAAGCAAGACTTCAAAAGAGAATAAGTCATATCTCTGGTGCGATTGGCCAATCTTCTGAAGTCAAGAACATAATCCCTCAAAGATCCAATTTGTCTCAATTTCACTAAACTCTCTGCGGCGTCGTCGAACTCGGAAGGCCCAAATTCTTGACATAATGCTCGAGTGAAATCTTCCCACTTTGGATAATTGGCAGTGTAATTAGCCCATTGAAACCACTGCAAGGGTTCGCCTTCCAGATGGAAGGAAGCCATTTTCACTTTCTTGAATTCTTCGATGTTAAAGAAATCAAAATAGTGCTCTGCTTTGTAAATCCACCCTAAGGGTTCATCACCGTCACCAAATCTAGGAAAGTCCATCTTCAAAAATGGTTGACGCGGATTCGAAGCATTTGTGGCGAATTCTTGACGACAAGAATTGGGGGCAAAATTAGGGTTCGTACCCATTTGCAGATTTGGATCAGAATGCGTTGCTTCCGAAGATTCGCCGACAGATCCACCCTTAGAAGATAAGGATTGTAGCTGTTGAAGAATCAATTCGTGAGTCGCGCGGAACTCCATTCGCGATTCGTGGAACTCGCTTCTGGATTCCTTGAATTCTTTCTGAAATTCTTCGAACAAAGATTCCAGCTTGGATACACGCAATTCCATTGTTCTTCTGGAAGCAAGCCGAGTCATACACGAGAAAGATCAAGTCAGGATCGGAAACAATGGCTTGATACCAATGATACAACCCTTACTCTGCTTCTTACTCAGTGTAACAGTAGCTAGTATATTTCATTGCAATATCAACCTTTACAACAACTTTCCCTTTTACAATATTCCCTTATATAGTAACTAAGCAGCTTCCTCCCTAAGTCACTCCCTAACAACCCTTAACCGCCAACCAATTCCAACTAATTCTTTCTTGTCCTAGTCAGCACTCCCAACCTTATGTGTCACAATACACAGCATCCTATCAAATACAAATTCATTGGTAAGTTCATCGACCAAATTCCACACTTATACAAGCTTAACAAGCTACATTTTCAAATGATTGTGTGATTGTAATTTGTGTTGCACGAGATGTGCCTTCACACTCTTAACTGTTTCAAACTTTTCGAACTGTATAGGTACGCTACATTGGTGTTTCCAATGAAACTTCATATGGATTTGTAAATGCAACTAAAGTTGAAGGACTACCAAAGATTGTCAGTATCCAAAACAAAAATAATATTAAACAGCTTGACTCGATATTTTTGAAAGCAAGTCACATATCTGAGGAGTAAAAAGTCATAGACTTACCATTTTTTTCACATAATGTTAAACAGCTTGACTCAATATTTAAAATATTCACGAAATTATCAATATTTCCGTCAAAATATCCGAAAAACCAGCATCGATATAAAAAAAGTAAATGAATATCGATGATATTTACCAATTAAATTTTGCCAGAACCCATTACAGATTTCGATCTTGTTGACATTACAAGATTTGACTTGTTTGAGTGCTAACTTATATTTGCTTGACCGATATCTTCTCATTTGGTGGATGTCGGCATGGTTGAGCTTTCTATCCAGATTCCAACCTGTTTCTTTAATTGTCGGCACCTTTGTATTATGTGTTTTCTATCCAGATTCCAACCTGTTTCTTTTATTGTCGGCACCTTCGTATTATGTGTTGAGAACTAAGACAGAGATGCGTATGATGCGACATATACCTTTCCCTCCTCGGTTTTCCAATCTCATTTTCTTAACCTAATGAGTTTGTAATTCTTTTGTTGATTTTTTGCAGTTGGTCTTGTTGAAGTCTGCCACCCAGAAAATTACAAGATTGGCTTACTGGCTGGTGGATCAACGAGCGGGAAAGTACATAGATAGCAAATCCGAAGCTTAAGAAAAAGACCTGCTAGGGTATGTTAATATCTCGCGTGTCACAATTCGGTCGCCAAAAATATTGCAGTTAAAGGCCTAGTAGTTAGGACATAAGTTGTTTTCCCTTCTTGATGAGTTATTTATGTTTTAAATATGAATTGCTGAGGATAATTTCATTACTGGTTGGTTGCGTGCCTAAATATTACTTGTTTCTGTACTTCAGTAAGCAACAATAACGTAGATCAAGCTAGGCAAGAAGTACGGGCTAACTCCAGTTCAGATTGCACTTGGATTTGTAAGGGACCGTCCATTTGTGACAAGTTCAATAGTTGGTGCCACTTCTGTCAACCAACTGAAAGAAAACATTGGTGATTTTCTGTTGACTGAGAGGCCTTTGCCACCGGAAGTGGTGGCTGATATTGAAGAGATTTTCAAGAGATACAAAGAAGCCACCTTTTGAAAGAAAAAGTCGCCTTAGGAAGTGTAATTATTACGTTTCTTGACACATCTGGTTTAGAGGACGATCGAAGGTCAATGCTTCCGATTTTGCGGTCACCAACTACCCATGACAGGACAAAGCCTCAACTTCCCTTTTGGGATTATTATGTATCCTTCTTACCTTACCTTACTGTATTTTCCTCTAACGTGCATAAAAGTGTTGTTTTCGTTTTTTTATTCCCCCTTTAAACCAGTGAGAGCTGGATCTCTATATATCAAGAGTTAGTGATAGAAAGTTGGGAGATTGTCAATTTTGATCTGCTAATTTCATGCTGTGTTGGATTCATGCAATTGCATCATGTTTAAAATTAATCCGATGTTATGCTCCCTTTTGTCTGTTTTAATACAAGAGAGAATCGAGCGTAAATACTCTTAACTCTAAACTACTTGAGTTACAAGTTCTTTGCGTGAATTTTGTGACTCGACAAAAGAGAGTCCTTCGAGTTCTTGGCAAAGGATTGCGACCGATGATAGCCGTGCACCTTCAACAGTCTCTTCAATTTGTTTTGCAGAAGTATCATCGCCAAATTTTTTGCAGTCTTCTTCCATCTGCAACTGTTTTTCCTTCACTTCTCAAATCAAACCACGTGGCAGAATCAGATTGGGAGTAATAATTTTTAATTTAATATTTTTGAAAGGTAGTTTAACTCGTTGGTGGGACGTGGATGAAGAGAAAGAGGCGCGCCAATATCTCGCCCTCTTTTCTTTTGAGCTGCAAACTTCCCTAAACATGTGAGATCGCTTACTGCCCTCTCATTTCCCACTCCTCCCTCTCTCTCTTTCCTCTCTCTCTCTCTCTCTCTCTCTCTGATTGATCTGCGTCTTTTTCAGGCTCAGAAACTGAATATTCACATCTTCTGCAAAATTTTACGGTGAATATCTGAGGCTGTTCGATCGACTTCCTTGAGAATTTTTCACGAGAGCCAATTTGTAACTGAAGAAGCTATTGATTTCCAACAAGTTGGTGACCCGATTGAGGTTCCCAAGTTTTTTGTTTTGGGAATGTATATGGTTCTTGTTTAGAAGGGCACTAGGAATTTGATGAGAGGCCAAAGTGGAAGAAAGCATATTCCTCTATGAAGACTGGTGAAGGGAAGTCGCCGATGCAGTTGTCGGTTGAGCTTGCTTCTTCTTCGGCGTTTAATTCCTTACGAAAGTTTCAGATGGAATGGCAGATCCTGCTAGCTATGGGAATTATGAGCGTGATACTGAACAAGTCAGTTTCCCATCACTGCCCTCTTTCTTTTCCTTTAGATTATTTGGTGTTTGCTTTTGTTTGCCTAGAAAACAATGAGACCTCTTACACTTTCGGGTTTGCATACATTTGGTGCTTTTCCCTGTTGAGTTTTCTTTCTGAAAAGACAGTAATTGAATGAAATCTTGGTCTGGCTGCTATTTTATGACGACACAGTTATAACTTATAACCGTCTTACGTAGATCAACGCATATGTATATTGAAGTTACCTGCATTACTCGAACAATTTTATTTTCGATTCGCGAAGGGAATTAATAAAAACCCAAAATCTGTGTAAAAGTTTAGTTTCCAACTTCCTAGCAGTGAAAATGTTGCCCTTTCTGTAGACTACACCCTTTCACACACTCACTTTGATATGGTTAAACATATATATTCAAGATTTTGATCTCTGTGTGATTTGGCAATACTTTTCACCTAATATTCCTCTCTCTCTCATGAAGGCACTCATTGCATTAAAAAAAGGTTCCCAGTTAATCAAGTATAGCCGGAAAGGACAGCCAAAACTTCATACATTCAGAATTTCTACTGTGAGTAATTTCCTTTACATTAGGATATTGGATTCATTTCATACCAATAAGTCTTTAATCTTACATCTTCTTCCTGCTGCGCATCTCCATGATCATTACTAGATATCTTAACCGCTTGAATGACTTCATTTTTCGTATCTTTAACAGGATGAAACTACACTAATCTGGTATTCACATGGAGAAGAACGAACTCTGAAATTAGCTTCTGTCTCTCGAATTATCCCCGGACAGAGAACAGTGAGTTTAACACTCCACTGCCAAGAACTAATCAATATTTTTGTGTTTCAACTCAGTAATTGTGCGTTTCCGTAATAATTATGAACCACTTTTGTGTCCTACTTGACGGAATAAATACTTCTGCTGCTTCTTTGTAGGCTGTGTTTAGAAGGTATTTGCGCCCAGAAAAGGATTACTTGTCATTTTCTCTTCTATATAAGAACGGTGAACGAACACTTGATCTGGTAAGTAAAATCAAGTATTAGTTTCAAGTTTTTCTGTTACGGCCAGTTAAGCAGAAAAGTTTAAACTCGGTAATCCTCTTTATAGATCTGCAAGGACAAAGCTGAGGCAGAGATATGGTTTGCTGGCCTTAAGGCGGTAATTACTTCAGGAAAAGAGCGTAGTAGACGTAGTCAGAGTGATATTTCTGATGTAAGTTTCCGATTTTAAAAAATGCATTTGTAACTGCTTATGCTTGTACTTTTTTTTATGGTTTCCTAGTTCTTTCTTATCATTCAAATGGTTAATTTTGTTGTGATTGTAATAGGTTAGTTTATATGAGTTTTGCCTTCGAAAAGGGCTGAATATTTCTTGTGAAGTTACCTGGAGATGGTTGAGAAAATATCTGCTCAGAAATTGCCTGACAATCCTAATCCTTATATATTCAATTGGCTGCCATTTATTCTTCTGTTTACTAAAATATATAATTTGCAGTAATCTTGGTGATGTTCTAATGAACATTCAATATTCATCAGCATGAACTAAAAAACAACTGTTACGCAAAATATGTAATAAAGTTCCATGCTCTAGTAAAAGTTTTATGAACAATTTACTGATACGATAAATGTAGCAAATCATTAGAACTCTGAGACGACAGATACAGATTTGTGCCTCTCAAGCCTTTAAAAAAAGGGGGGAAACTATCCAGGAGGTAGAATAGTCTGGGATGTCTAGCAATTGCAGATGAAAGTTGGCCCTCAACGTTTTCAGGAACATTAATTTTTCTTGCAGATAAGATTTGACATATGGAGCTACCAGAATTTCAGTTATGTAAATAAAAGAATAGTTAAAATTCCATGAAATCTGTGCAATTATATGCAAGTTAGAAAATTATCAGTGCATTAACATATTTGGTGGTTTCCTTCGTACAATTCATGCATTATGAGAAACCACCAGCACTTATATTCACAAAGTATATGTAACGCGATTGTCTTGATCCACTCGTAATTGTTCTGCATTAATATGTTTTGAGAAGATTCAACGTAGTTGTTTGCTTTCCTTTCAGTTGCAAGACTCTGCTGAATCTGTTCATGGCCATCCATTTGGTGCGACATTAGAGTTCACGTCAAGCATTGCCAGTGGTAGGGTATCCGTTGATTCTCATGAATCAGTGAATTTGGCAGGCTCAGATGTGGGTTCAGAACGTGCAAACATGCAACTAAGAACAAGTGCAGGAGATGGTTTTCGAATTAGTGTTTCAAGCACTCCTAGCTGTTCAAGTGGAGGGTCTGGACATGATGATATAGAATCACTAGGAGATGTTTATGTGTGGGGAGAGATCTGGTCTGATGGAAATGGACCTGATGGGTCTGCAAATTCAATCTCTAAAAAAATCGATGTGCTGATTCCAAAGCCCTTGGAGTCGAATGTTGTTCTTGATGTTCAGCAGATAGCTTGTGGTGTGCGACATGTTGCTCTTGTAACAAGGCAAGGGGAGGTTTTCACCTGGGGAGAGGAATCGGGTGGAAGACTCGGTCATGGGATTGATAGAGACTTTAGTCGTCCTCGCCTTGTTGAGTTCCTCGCAATTAATAACATTGAATTTGTTGCATGTGGTGAGTACCACACATGTGCTGTATCTACATCAGGTGATTTGTTTACGTGGGGTGATGGTACACATAATGCTGGACTTCTTGGTCTTGGAACTGATGTTAGCCACTGGATACCTAAAAGGGTTACCGGTCCTTTAGAAGGACTTCAGGTTCTATCTGTTGCATGTGGCACATGGCATTCAGCTTTAGCAACTTCGAATGGAAAGGTATTTACATTTGGAGATGGAGCGTTCGGTGTTTTGGGCCATGGGGATCGAGAGAGTGTTCCGTATCCAAGGGAGGTACAGTCGTTGAATGGACTAAAGACTATAAAGTAGCATGCGGAGTTTGGCATACTGCAGCTATTGTAGAAGTTATGGGCCAGTCTGGTACAAATGCTTCATCTCGTAAGTTGTTCACCTGGGGCGATGGTGACAAACATCGTTTGGGTCACGAAATCAAGGAAACTTATCTGCTTCCCACCTGTGTCTCTTCACTTATCGACTATAATTTCCACCAGCTAGCATGTGGACACACTATGACTATTGCCCTCACCACATCAGGTCATGTGTTTACCATGGGCGGAACTGCATATGGCCAGCTAGGCAATCCAAGTTCTGATGGGAAAGTACCTTGTTTAGTACAGGATCGATTGGTTGGTGAGTTTGTCGAAGAAATATCTTGTGGGTCATATCATGTTGCTGTCCTGACATCAAGAAGTGAAGTGTTCACTTGGGGAAAAGGTGCTAATGGAAGACTGGGACACGGGGACACAGAAGACCAGAAAACTCCAACTTTGGTTGAAGCCCTAAAAGATAGGCATGTGAAAAGCATATCGTGCGGCTCAAACTTCACATCTAGTATATGCATCCATAAGTGGATCTCTGGAGCTGATCAATCAATTTGCTCAGGTTGTCGACAGACATTTGGTTTTACTAGAAAGAGGCATAACTGTTATAACTGTGGACTAGTCCATTGCCATGCTTGTAGTTCCAAGAAAGCACTGAGGGCAGCTTTGGCCCCGACTCCTGGAAAACCTCATCGTGTATGTGATGCTTGTTATGCGAAACTTAAGGCTGCTGAGGCTGGTAATGCTTCCAGTGTTAGTAGGAGATCTAGGGTCACACGCTCGATGGATAGCAGGGATTTACTAAGTAGAGTAGAGGTGAAATCTTCAAGGATTCTTCTCTCTCCCTCTATAGAACCCGTTAAATACCTTGAGGTCAAGTCCATGAAGCCTGGTGGTGTCAGATCCGAATCCCCTTCTATAGTCAGGGCTTCCCAAGTTCCATCCCTTTTACAACTTAAAGATATTGCATTTCCAAGTTCGTTGAGTGCACTTCAAAACGTTTTGAAGCCTGTCATGACAACGCCGTCTCAGCCCAATTCGAGATCTACTTCACCATATTCAAGGAGACCTAGTCCTCCCCGGTCTACAACTCCTATATTCTCTAGGAGTGTTATTGACAGTCTTAAGAGAACAAATGGCACTCTGACTCAAGAAGTATCAAAGATGCAAAACCAGGTACTAATTTAACACCTTTCGAAAATTAACATTTTTGGTTGCATCATTATATTGTCTTGTGGTATAGAAATGTCAAAATCAAGACGCCTTTCCTTGGGTAAACTTTCCTCTCTTTACTTCAGGTTAAAAGTCTGAAGCATAAGTGTGATGCTCAAGAGGTAGAGATAAAGAAACTACGTAAACATGTGAAAGAAGCTGGCTCATTAGCCGATGACCAATACTCGAAGTGCAGAGCTGCCAAAGAACTCGTCAAGTCCATCACGGAACAGGTTTATAAAACTTAAAATTGCAATGTCACTCTTTATAGGCGTTCTGTGTGGCATGACATCTCCATTGACAGAATAATAATGGGGTGGAAATAAAAATCATCTACTTTTTTTGTGGCCCTGCCCTCGTTGATTCAGTTATTGGTGAAATATGCTGATGTTCTGTGTGCTTTCCGTTCTTTCTTTACCTTGCAGATGAGGGAATGGGAAGACAAGATACCTCCTGAGATTTCTGACAGCGATACTTTCAAAGCATTGCGTACGCAAGCTGAGGATTTTATGAACACGAATATTGGAAGGCCAAGCTCAGATCTTGACCAACACTATGCAACCGATAGAACTTCCTTGGTTGTTGAGTCTTCTAGAATGGAAGACAACAAGGCTAAAGACTCTGCAGAGGCTGAACAGCAAAACAGCTCAGAAAACCACTCGAAGTCACCTGAATCATCAACGTTGCAGACAGAAGACAACAGATCAGAAAACTTTGCGGATGCTGGACCTCAAAACCGCTCAAGGTCACCAGAATCATCAATGTCACGGACAGGACAAAAGGAAGTCATTGAACAATTTGAACCGGGCGTTTATGTAACTCTCCTTCAACTAAAAAATGGTATTTGGGTTTTTAAGCGTGTTAAATTCAGGTAAATATTTTATCTTACAACATTCAGTAATTATGTGTTTGTGTTAGACGGCCACTGGACCCTTGAGCGGGTTCAATAGTTGTCTAACATGGTATCAGAGCTCTTGTTGCACAAGGTCCTGAGTTAAAATATTTCAATCCACATTCCTCACTGCTTTCTTCATTTTCAAGGTGCAGACTGGGACTGCACCTATGTTATTATTTGTGTCTTCATTTCTCTGCCTGTCCACGTGCAACCGGTGAGTGAAGGTGTTAGCTCGATATATAATGTTGACTCGTTATCTAACAGCTTAAACTTATGGGTTCGATGGCTGTCTAACAAGCTATGGTGCCATGTTACAACCAACGGATCTCAAAAGTTTAAGTTGTTTGCGAACTGATCAACAATGCATATCAAGTTTACGAGCTACACTTCTACGCATACTGATTGTAACAAAACTTGTTCTAAATTAGTATTAGAAAGCCACATTGTTTCTGTTCCATTTATTTCCATAAGCTAAATTTGTTGAGGATAAGCGTACGCACAATCAAGTCTTGGATCATTTCAATGTCGTTCTCTTTTAATTTTCTCACACCGGCCTCCAATATTTTCTGCAGCAAACGGAAGTTTAGTTCGGAACAGGCAGAAGCATGGTGGAAAAACAACAAAGATAGGCTGCTTAGGAGATATAGTCAGCCGAATACAAGTCCTGCTCCGAGTGTACCACCACCCAGCCGTCCTATACCGCCCGAGGAAAACAGCGAGGCAGCCGCAGCTTCCCCGACTTAGTTTTATAACTTAGTCTCTTAACAGTATGGTTTAGAAACTTGGTAAGTAGGATCAAAGGATCTGCTATAGAATGGCAGTGTATGAATCAGTTAGGTGTAAACTTATCTTGTTAAGAACAGAACAAAATAGAGCGGCATCCTTGTTCTTCTTTCTTTTCTTATTTTGTCTTTGTTTTTTTTATCTAGGGGAATTATTGAGAGGATTTCTACTCCTCCATTAAAAAGAAGAGCTTCAATATCATTCTTTCATCCATTGTAGTTTGTTTTTTCTGTTTTTTCACAACGCGGTATTCTAATTTTCTCGGGGAAGGCAATGCCACCTTTGATCAAAGAGGACGGGCACACGCACATAACCTTGACCGACTAGATTAACCCACATATGCGCATACTAGTTGATATTATTGAATAATGTATGGTGATAAATGTAATTTGTGAGTTGAGTTTAAAAGTGAAATTCCTTCACTCGGAAATTAAATTGGAGATATGACTTTTCAGAAGACAAGCTTAAATAACTTTTTGAACCAACATGTTGATTATTGTTTTAATGCGTAGTCTCAATCTGCAGTTTGACAATATAAATATTTATTCGACAAACCAATCAATTATTGTGTCTAGATAGCTAGCACCTTCATCTTGATAATGTATTGGGCTAACAAACAATGATGTTAGTAGTTGAGTGTTGAACTCGTTAATCCGTGTTCGTATGGTTGGCATCTTCCTTGACAGGGACGGGAACAACTTCGAACTTGCCTGTTACAAGTTACCACACATCCTCTTAAGGCTACCCACCCTTCTGATGGATCTATAACCTTTTTTTTTTTTTTTTTTATTTAGAAAAAAAAAGAAAAAGAAAAACTTGTTAATTCACATTTGTTTGCAAAAACCATTTTAAATTGGTTTTTAGAAATTATAAGTTATGAGTTTGGTGTGGATGATTACTAATTTATTAGAAATATTATTTTCTTTATTATTAATTTATTAGATTACATGTTCTTATTTCTCAAGATTCACGACACGCAATTTGAATCCATTATATCTAATTCATTTTTTGTCTTGATCAGTAATAGCCAATTATTATTGAAATATGTGTTCAAAGTTCAAGCTCTAGAAAATGATTGGTAGACTCTTATTTTACTTTTATTATATAGATGTTAGGGAGATCAAATTCTTAAACCAAATGACATATCACTAAGTAAAAATTCAATCATCAACTTCTATATCATTTGTTTTTAAAAATTTTGTCACCCTAACATTATCCTTATTATCTTAGTTGAAAAAGTAATCCAACTTTACTTATCAAATAAATTTTTACTATAATGATAAAAAATAATCATATCAATGTATTTTAGAGCGAGTTTTGTCACATCTTGACCCAGGCTCAACCACATTTCGGACTCGACTCTGCCGCAGCACAATATTGTCCGCTTTGAGCCCCGACCACGCCCTCACGATTTTGTTTCTGGGAACTTACACGAGTAGAACTTCCTAATAGGTCACCCATCCTAGAAATGATCTGGCCCCTTTCTCACTTAACTTCGGAGTTCCTACGGAACCTGAAGTCAGTAAGCTCCCAAAAAGCCTCGTGCTAGATAGAGATGAGAATATACATATAAGGCTTAAAAGATCCACTCTCCTGGGTTATGTGAGATGTTACAATCCACCGCCTTAGGGGTCAACGTCCTCATCGGCACACTTCCGGCCAGGAATTGACTTTGATACCAAATTGTCACATCCCGACCCAGTGTCCACCACATCCCGGGCTCGACTCCGCCGTAGCACGATATTGTCCCCATTAAGCCCCGACCATACCCTCACGATTTTGTTTCCGGGAACTCACGCGAGCAAAACTTCCCAGTAGGTCACTCATCCTGGGAATGCTCTAACTCCTTTCTTGCTTAACTTCGGAGTTCCTATGGAACTCGAAGCCAGTGAGCTCCAAAAGACCTCGTGCTAGGTAGAGATAGAAATATACATATAAGGCTTACATGATCTACTCCCCTGAGCGATATGGGATGTTACAAGTTTGATTCCCACGGTATAATAATTACATCTTATTTTAACACGATAATTTATTCATTATGCTACTATACTTACTATATATTTGTATTATCTCTCTAATATAATAGTGGTAAGACCCAAAAATACATGTGAGTCTCATCTCTATTATAGAGAAGCTAAAAATAACATATTTCAATTTAAATATGTGGTAAGAGTAACATTTTTGTAAAAGTTTCCTTCATCCAGTGTTTTTGGGTCAACAGGATCTTGAAAATCTTCTTAGCCAATTTTTCATGTAAAAAAAAATATAATAAAATAAAAAGAAAATTGTTGCAATGGTTCTTCAATTTTAACCCAATTGGAGCAATGTTTCCTCAACCAAAAGTTCTTGACCATTGATACCTTAACTCATCAAAATATGTAGCTATGGTCCCTTTCATCAACTCCATTAAAACTTCTGTTAAAATGAGTCATATGCCACACACGTGAGGTCATAATCAAGAGGCAAATATAGGAAACTAAATGAAAAAAATTGTAGAAATTGTCATTTTCGTCAACTCTATTAAAACTTCCGTCAAAATGATTCACATATCATGCACGTGAGGTCATAATCAAGGGACAAATCTCGGAAACTAAATGAAAAATTTGTTTATAGAAATGATCCCTCAATTTTAACCAAATTAAAGAAATGATCTCTCAACTTTAATCCATTTGGAGCAATAGTCCTCAATTTTAACTTAATTGTAGCAATGGTCATCAAGATTAACCCAATTGTACTAATGATTCTTCCAACACAATTCATTTGAAGGATTTGAACGAAAAAACCATAATTTACCATTAGTCATAAATTTTTAATTGAGAAACTATTATAGCAATTGGATTTCGTCATCCACTTGCAATATCTATTCCAATTTCCTCTAAAATAAAATATAGAAAATTAAGAAATCAATCCTACAATTTCCTCTAAAATAAAATCTCTAGCTAATGTATATTATATATCTTCGTTGATAAGTATTCAATTAATTTCGTCATCCACTGACAATATCTATTCCAATTTGAACAAGTTTCTTAGAAAGCACATCACTTCCCATCCATTTTCCGGAATTTTCTATATTTTCCTCCTGAATTTAAAACCCTAGGTCTTCAAGCTTTGCTTCAAAACCCACGAAGGGTAATTGAAGTTCTTCCCAGGATTTCAATGGGGCAGCAGCAATCGAAAGACGAACTGCTCTATCAGCAAGTCAGCTATGGAAACGTCGAAGGGATTAAAGCCCTCTGCAGAGATGGTGCAGGCCTTGAGGTAATTAAAGGAGATTAATTTTCGATTAGTGTTTAAGCTGTATCAAAAATGTGATCATTGGTAGTGATAATTTGTTTTGTTTTGTCAATTGGTAGAGATAATTGTTGAAAGTTTTGGAATTTTGGGTAATGGTTGATGAATTATTGATTATTTATGGTGATTTTGGTTGTCAGTGGATTGATAGAGAGGGGAAAACCCCTTTGATCGTGGCCTGTATAAATCCTGGGCTGTATAATGTTGCAAAAAGCTTGATTGAACTTGGTGCAAACGTTAACGCCTATCGCCCCGGTACCTTTCCTATCATAATTCATTACAATTTGATAACTTCTCAGTTGAGTTGCTCTTATGTTACTGTTTATGTACTTGGATAGTGAGAAGAAAGTAAGAATGAATAATGAAGATAAGAAAGAAAATTGGCATTTTGGGTTTATTGATTTCGAAGAAATCTACCAATTGGCAAGGTAGAGTTGTCACCAAGGACCCGGAAAGTATTAAAAGAGTAGCCTGGCTATAGTTGGTAGCCACTCCTTTTTGCCTGAAATGTACGGTTTTAGTCCAAATTCTTCCTCCAAGTATTGCGCGGTTATGTGAAATTCGAGTTGGATCCACATGCATACTGCAATCATGATGGAAATATCACTACCATAGATCTTAAGTACCACTGTTGTACTGAAATGTTTTCCCTTGCATAAAATGGAACACTAAGATTAGATATGCTTCAACTGTTTTTTCTTTAATTCTTCTTTCTGATCTCACTCCCATCCCCAGAATTTGTTGTGTTTTACTGTGTTTATATTAAACTTGTTTTGTAATGCAGTCTTCTTAAAAAATGCTATTATAAATGCATGCACCTTGACCTTTGGCTTGCATTAACAATTTTTTTTCATTTTTTGTCTTTTTTCTCAATGTGGTTTAGGTCGTCATGCTGGGACTCCTCTACATCATGCAGCTAAAAGAGGCCTAGAAAACGTCGTTAATTTACTTCTTTCGCATGGAGGTGTGCAACTCTATCTTTAAATCTGTTTAAATGTATTATTTAAAGTGGAGTATAAAGCTTACAATTTTATAATAACAAACACGTTCTTTTTCCTGCTTTCTTTGTTTTCTTAATATATAATTTGTTCAAAATTTTCAGCAAATGCTTTAATCATGAACGATGACTGTCAAAGTCCTCTTGACATTGCTAGGGCGAAAGGGCACATGAATGTTGTCCGTGCAATTGAGGTAAATTCAAACTTTAGCATGCAATGCCAATCTATGTGTATCTCTTACTTTCCGATGTTACAATATATTTCATTTCTTCTTTTGATAGTTCTTCACTTTGTTCTCTCTTGGTTTTGTCTTTTTACACATTTCCCAATGTTTGTAGAGGCATATTTGCTTATTCTCTGGTTGGTTGCGGGAGTTTTATGGTCCTGGATTTCTTGGAGTACTTGCTCCGCAGTTGGTTTCAAGAAAAGTGTGAGTATTTTGTTAAAGTGGTGTCATCTTGACGTATTCCTGTGTAGTTGTTTGCCTTTTATCTTCAATCATGATCTCCACAGCAAGTTATCTAAGCAATGTAGACTGATTGATTTGAACTGTTTTGAAGAATTTGTATGTCACTTGTTTAATTTTTTTTCTTTTTAACTTTGATCGAGTAATTGTCTGAAAATTCACTTGGCATGTGTGCCTACTTTTGCATACTTTGCAGTTGGGTTGTTGTTTTGCCATGTAGTTCCCGGAAACCCACCAAGCCTTTCAAGTTGGAGCTTGCCATTTACCCTAACATGCAGGTATTTCTATGTATAACCTTCTATTCTTAGGTAGATTAAGCGTTATGTATGATTATAAATGTTTCTATATCATGCCTCTACTCATACATTGCATTCAAAGTGGCTTTAATTTAGGCTACATCGAGTGGTTGCTTCCAGATGATAACATTCACAGTATTATTTTCATTTCTTTTTTTTAAAAGAAATCATCTAATAATTAAAAAACCAAAACCATGTACAATGCCTTGCATGAGTTAATCTGATGGCTAAAGTCTCTGCATTTGTATAGTTTGCTAACTAGCTATCAATAGTAATGTTGTTTTTAGCTTTTATTGTACGCGTTCTTGAACCTTCCATTCTTTTTTGCCATGTAGATGATAAAAGGCATCAATTCAATAGCCAAGTTCAGGCCTTTTTTAATATGAATGGAGATATATAAGACATTGGTTTACAGTGCGTCGGGATTTTCTTCTAACTCATTTGAAATGTTTTGCACTTGGAGTACTCTGTCCAAATTACAAATTCAAATAAAATAAGTTCATTTATTATTTCCTTTTTCATAACTCATAACGATGGTACTTCCCCTTGGGAGTTGGTTGCCTCAACAAACCTTGTTGAATTAGGATGTCCTTTACCCTTAATTGCCAATGGTAGAATTTCCTTTCCATCAAATAGCTCAACAGAAAATGGTGAGCCAATATTTCTTTTTATGACTAAACATGAACAAAGTATTAATGTTGAACCCTAGTCATTATAAGTTGGGTGTCAGGAAAATAGTGACTGAAACATTAAAGATAATATAATAAAGACAAGATGTTAAGTACTGATATACACTCTCAGAGAAAACAAACTGGTACAAGTCGTTTTTTATCACTAGTTAATCGCCCCACCCTAAGCGAAATAGACATCTTGAGATTGCTTGGATCTGTTTACGGAACTGCCCTACTCCTTAGGGCCCAGCTTCAAAGTAAGATGGAAAGAACGCTACGTGATGAGGTCGATCGCCCCTTAGAAGTGAAGTCCTATTTCAGAATCTTTGAACAGGGAGGAAGTGAATAAGTAGTCCCATGCATTCCGACAAATGTAAATGGTATCACTAGACGGTAAGGAAAGAGAAAGGACCTTTCAGCCTCTGCTTGAGTTCCTCTTTTTTATGTTTATGGTCTTTCTCGAGGCGCTGCCCCCCCCCCTCCAAAAAAAATAAAAAATAACCTTTCCTCCTCCCAAGTACATTATTTACTCAAATTCCTGAAGTAAAATCCCACTATCAACTCTACTCTCAGATCTCTACTGTGATTCTTTGCGAAGAGAAGCTTTCAAGTTCAGCACGGTAGAGAACTATTTTGTAGCCGCTCTCAAAGTAGAGATTCAGGTCCTTCCCCCTGGAGACAGCAAGACTCTTTATTTTCTGTGAAATTTAGTCTCCTTTGGGTGAATACATTTCCCATCTGAGTTACCAAGATAGTTCCTGATATTGTTGTTGCTTCCTCTTGGTGCTATGTAGTTCTACCATCTTTGGCTCTTCCCGAGAAATGTCCGATGTTTCATTTAACATTTAGCAGCCACAGTTGCTGCTACATGACTGGTGGTGACGATTTGCTCACTACCTTATATTTTTAACCATATTCAAATACTATGGGTCTATCAATTGTCACTAGAGGCCTTCTATTCTGGCCTTCTGTTCTGGCTTCTTTAGTTTGCAACTTAGCATAGCTGTAGTTCCTTTATATTTGATTTGTACTGTGCAGAAGGCAGAGTTGACTCATGCTATGTGGTGATTTGTAGCTTAATTTTCAGGCCTTCTGCATTATTGTTAGTGTTCTTACCTAAGTACATGCTATCTTGATTGACGCTGTCGGCTCACTTCCTATTGTCAAACCTTTTGATAGAATTAGCCGTCCGGCATCATGTATGTTTATATCTTTATCTACTCCGGATTGATATATCTAGGCCACACTTGTGTTTGCATAATTTTGGCTGTAAGTTGACTGATGGTTCTATCATTTTTCTAGTGTGCTTATATTGAACTTTTTAATAAGCAGGATGCCAAACCGCGAACAGTTATTGCATTGTGGAAAGTCAATCTGGAAGAACCAAAGTTACACCAGTCTGATCCATCAGTTGTGATTCATGATAACTCCACAAGTAATTCCTTGATTCCAAAATAATTCAGTTTGAGTAATTTTAACCCTTATTTCTTTAGGCTATAAATCTGGGGTTGATGTCACATTAACTTCCTAGCCCCTTTTTAATTGAATTCTATGTCCATGCATAGTCCCAAGAGGCAAGATACGGAGAAGAAGCATGTACATCACCCAAGAGGCCAGTTGTAGGCCTAAAAAACTTAGGTGTAAGTACGTTGTCGTTAATTACTTCCAATCAATATAAATCATAGAAGTGATTGAGAAGCACTTTAGCAGAAGATTTTGGATATCTTCCACATCAAGTGCTGCAGTAATATACTGATGCCATCCTCCACCCTCCGACCTATATTAGGCTTACCGTCTAGCTAGGAAGAAAATGATGTTTAATTGTTGTGCGTGTCCATGAGTGAGGTTTCTCTTGTTAGGATCCCATTCAAGCTCAGCAAAGAATCCCATCCTAACTTTGTATTCCATCTTTTGCAGAAACACGCATCAAACTTGCAGCTGCAGTTGAGAATGACAAGCAACAACTTCAGTTGTTTTGCAATGCATGCAAAGGAATACCACAGGTACATTTCATCTTATCCTTCTCTGCCATATACATGACGTTTTTAACTCCCATCCTTTTTCTTGTTGTATTGTGTAAAGTGAAAGTGTTTTGCAATTTCTTGTCTCATTATTTCTTGAAATGCCATACTTGAATCCATTTATATGGACCGTTTTCTTTTCCATGTGAAATCCACCCCTAGAAATGAAAAAGTGAAAAAAGGGAATGGACAATATGCGCCTTTTATAGTAAGCAAGCAATTATCTTTTGTGTGATGATTGGGAGGCTATCATATATTATATTTGTGGAATTTTTCAGGCTTGTCCTGCGTTTTTGGGTAACAACCAACCCCCGGTTGCTCCAGCAAGTGCACCACCAGCTGCAGAAGATTTAGAGTTGGCCATGGCTATTAGTGCCTCCATGCAGTCTGCTTTGCAGGAGAGACCATCCTTTCCTAATCCGCACCCTACCTATGAAGCAAGTTCATCCAGTAGTGATAATGGTTGGGCCGGAGCCTCCACAAGAACTGACAGTTACAATGGTGGTGGTGCACCAACTGCAGCTGCTGCTTCAAAAGTAAGTAGCGGCGAGTGGTCAGGGACTCAGAGTAATGAAGTTGGAGAGTCATCTCAGCAGGTGGAAATCCAGGATACCTCTTCCGTCCAAACAGCTCCTACTTCAGATATAATCCCATCAGCCCCACCGGTTGCAGATGATAGTCTAGATGCAGCTCCTGTTCACTATCCATCAATTGATTTCAGTCCTATTGATATCCCATCCCCAAGCCTTGAAAGCACACCTGCTAAAATTGATGAGAAGAAAGGTGAAAGCGGTTCATGCGTGATTTGTTTGGATGCTCCAGCTGAAGGAGCTTGCATCCCATGTGGACATATGGCTGGATGCATGTCCTGTTTGAAGGAGATTACAGGTAAGAAATGGGGTTGCCCCGTCTGTCGAGCCAAGATAGACCAAGTTATAAGGCTTTATGCTGTGTGAAGTGATCCGTAATATATTGAAGTTCGACATTGTTACTGCAAACAGCTTGATGAATATTGTTTTGTTTGTATCGTAGTATATGTACTTGGATGAAGTTTGTTTTTTTTGTACATGTTGCCACATATTAATTACCTTTCACCATGTTTTCTTAAGTACCGCCGAGACGACAGCCTGTGTTGTATATGTAAATAAAGTTCATTTTTTCCATAAAATGTTGGGGCTGGCTACTCAAATTTTATTCATTTCTAGTCGGGTGTTAATGGGATTTTACTCTCCAGTTACAGTTTGCAAACTCTTTTAATGTACTTTGTGATTTGAGAGAAGGAACTCTTTTGACTTCTCTGTGTATTAGGGTTGCAACTTGGGTGGGTTGGAAGGTCAAACCCACCCTAACCCATCCTTTGCAATTCGGGTCCGTCGGGTTGGATGCTCCGGCCTTAATATTCGAAGCAAAAAATGTCAGAAACACAGAAAGAGAAGCAAAAGTTTGACGTGAGATTCAAAAACGAAGAAATGGTGAACCGGTTTCAAATTATGCTGAGCCAACTTGCCATGACACCAAGCATTCGAAACAAAATTTAGGGTACCATGCTGTGACCGCTGTCTCAAGTTTTGATTTATGTTAAGAATATTTGGATTGTCAGCCACATAGTATTTGGTTGAAGGCTAATGGCTACTTTTCCTTGATTGCCACTCCTTTTCTAGAGTTCTATATTTAAGAATGGCCGAAAAGATGGTTCGATATGGACATCTATTTACGGAGAGTACCCCATTACAATAATACATTGTTATCATAACATTTTATTGTTATTAATGATACGTCGTAAAGAGAAATATTTATGATTGACATAGGATATTGTGGTAACAGTGTAATTATGCCATAAAAGTGCAAATGACTTGGCTTCTCAAGATTGAGGAGATCCTCCTAAATTCACTTACTTCCCGATTCACATAATTTCGTGTTTGTAATGGGAACCGTTCATATAATAAATCATTATGTAAAGATTATATGTACAAAAAATCAATTAAAACTAAGATTGTTTGGTCAATTAATTGTAGCAAATAGATAAGTTTGTAATTCTTCTATAAATCCGTCTATTTTTATACAGTTTGATGACTAAGCGATCTCATCTTTAATTGGTTTTTTGTACAGATAATTTTTATAGAGGGATTTATAATATGAACTGTTTCGATCATAAATATGAAATTCCGCGAATTGGCCACATAATAATTGAAGAGGAACCCATGAGGCACACACATGACTAAACGATCTCCTAAATTATTGTAATAATTTTGAACCTTCGTCTCCCCTTACTAATAATAATATATTTAAGAATCTAGCTAGTTAAGTGTTGGCCATTGGTTGGCCTCACTCATGGTTGTCAACCTCAAAACCTATTGGATGATCACATATATTCCTTTTTCTTTTTGGGTCTTGATTTGCATATATATTTGATATGGTATCTTTGTTACAGCATATTCAGTTACGTTTGTGAGTTGGTTTCTCAGTTGACATTTTGTAAATATACTTGTTATATTGTTGCGTGAATGACTACGTGATCATCTTTTTAAGAATATTTTGTCAAATCAACCTTTTTAATTAAATGAGGATATTGATATATTTTTCACGGAATGACCAAATGATTTACCATTGACAAAATTGGGATCACCTTTATCAATTTTCGTTATCAAATACCAAAGTGAGAAGTTATGCTAATCTCATAGATCATATTAACTAAAAAATCTAATAATTTTTACCTTCGAAAAATATTATAATAGTACCATTTTTTTACTCCCTTTTTGTTCATTGGTCAAGTTCATTAGGATTAAGGCATATTTGTCAATTTACCCCCTAAACTTGTATAGAGCTATCAATTTTTCCTATGAATTTTAATTTTAGCTGATTACTCTCATGAACTTTTATAATTAGCAATTTCCCACTTGAACTTTAATTTTATCCAATTACCCCTCGAACATTTATAAATGGTCAATTTCCCCCCTAATGCTAGATTTTACATTTTTTTTTCATCCAATTTCCATTTATTTTGATCATGTGGACAACACAAGACAAATGTATGGGGGCAAAAATAATGGAAAATTTGTTGGATATAAGTTGGATGAAATTTTTTAAAAAGTATAACGCTAGGGGGAAATTGGCTAATTATAAAATTTCAAGAAGGTAATCGGCTAAATTTAAAGTTTATGGGAGGAATTGACTAATTATAAAAGTACAGGGAGAAAATTGGCAGCTCTATACAAGTTTGGGGAGCAAACCAACAAATACCTCTAGGTTAATATATCACTTAGCTTGTGTTGCACTAATTAGCTGAAGGTTTTGTAATTTAATTAATAATTAATTATGGGATGGTAATCTTAAATAATTGAGATTCTTTCCCTTAACCTCAATCATATATATATTTTTTATCAAGAAAAAGAAATTCATTAAAGGGAAAAACCTCTACTACAACCAAAGCCCAAGCAATCAAAATTGAGGACATTAAATACAACATAAGGGAGCCAATGATCCCAGAAATGTGGAATATCAAGAGTTAAACCTAAATGAGCTATTGCAGCCACCACAAAATTTTCTTCTCTTAAAACATGGTTCCATTCTATGCAATTGAACTTTGAGGCCATCCAACGAATATCCTCAAAAATAGATATTAGGTTTCAAAGGGACATCCCATCTTCCTTGAACCTCACTGATGATTAACTTTGAATCCCCCTCCACCAGAAATAGTTACTATGTCAAGATTAAAAGCATCAGGACCAATAACCCGACCCTCTTAATTCCTTAACACAAGGGCAGCAACAGCTTTCTCCGAAGTAACAGAACCATCAAAGTTTAACTTTGTAACATCCTGATCAGGGGGTGTCATTGAATGACCTGCTCAGAAGAAGTGACAACCTTGCATTTTGGTTTCCATTACACCTGAAGAACAAAGAACCCATACTAGCTGCAATGACAAGGCGGCGAGTTGGGATAGAATGATGCCCCTAAACACCTTATTATTTCTTTCATTCTATATTTGTCAACAATTGAGAATTGCTTTGCTCAACTCTAAGATCCTCTTTTTCTGAATAACTCAAACTTTCCATCCAATCCGCCATATTATCAAACTAATATGTGTTATTTTCTCGACGGATTAATAGGAGATAGATTCCAAACTAGTTTTGCAAAGTGGCACTTAAGAAAAAAGGTAATTTTGATCCTCTTCATCTTTGCCACATAAAGGGCAAACTTTTGTCAGCATTTATAATGAATTTACTTAGACATTTCCTAGGTTGAAGACTTTCCTGCATGAGGAGCCAAGAAAACATCTTCACCTTTGGAGGGATAAGTAGTTTCCATATTTTCTTAAGCAACTTAGTTTGTTACCATTCCGCGGGTTTTGATTTTGGATCTAGGTTGCACCCATAACAGAAAACATATCATTATTTGAAGCACCCCACACAGAAAACATACCATCAGTATCTCTCAAGGGAATAGAGATAATGCAATTTTCCTTGCAACATCACGATCAACCAATCTATTGAGTTTATCCATATCCCAACAATTATTATTAATAAATTCACTCACCTTGAGATCCCTGTTGATCCCCGTCCTCTGGTTTTCTGGGATTCAATGGATTAGAGGATAAGGAAGAACCCAATGATGGGTCCAAAACAAGATATCATACCATTACCCACAATCCACCTCATCCCCTTATGGGTAATATATGTCTATTATGGAGAATGTCTTTCCAAGCTAAAGAGTGATTCTGCTTCATCTTACACTCCATAAAATTCTCCTTTTTGAGGTATTTTCTTTTGATAATTTGAACCCAACAATTATTCTCATTAGTAAGAACTTTCCAACCTAACTTAGCGAAACAAGCATTATTAAAATGATCAATTCGTTTGACACCCAAGCCTCCGTCCTCTTTCAACTAGCACACTTTATCCCAAGCAACATGTTTTAGTTTTTATCCCTTCCCTAACAAAAGTCCCTACACTTTGTCTCCAAGAAGCTTTGCTATACAATTTCCAAGCTCGCCTTCATGATTTTACTTGTTGACAGGTGGCCAGAGCTCTTGTCGTTCATATTCCAGTGCCTCTCCTTTGTATCGCTGAAGTTTCATGAATCAAGGTTCTTGGTATTGGCTTAGCTTTTTCACTACAACAGGGACATCGTGGTGGCACCACATATCAAAGGCAGCTTTGGAAGAGTGAAGTGTATAATCGCACAATGTACTAAAATTTAAGGGCCCCCAAACAATTTTTGCTATCTAAAATATAATATTATTATATATCAAAACTGATGGAAATTGATCTCGTGTCTCCAGAAAAGTGTAAAGTTCGTAGAAAAAGCCACTTTGATGAGAATGATGATGAATCATCCCAATTAGCGAACGAATCTCTTAGAGTTCATTACACTATATAATATCAAGCTATTGATTCACAGAAGTTTTGATGAATATAAAGCATACGATTATATATTTGAGTTATTGTTCACTTTGGAAAGGTTGAATTCGATTGACAATAATAAATTAAAAGATTGTTGTGATCGTCTTCAAAAATTTATCTTTATCAAGAAACGTGAGTTCTTTTATGTTGATGGCGATGCATTATTTGTAGAGTTGAAGCTTTTACGAGAGCGTTTGTCAAAAGAAATGAAGATACGAGAGCGTTTGTCAAAAGAAATGAAGACATCCATTGATGTATTGAGCTGCTTGAAGAGGATGAGTTATTTTCTTACTGCAAGCATTGCAAACATAATTTTGTTGACAATTATGTTAATGTTACATTTGCGAAAGGGAGTTTCTCAAAGTTAAAGTAATTGAAGTCATAATGCCTCTATCCTTTTCAAGTTCATGCAATCAAATAACAAACATTTCGAAAGATCGTTATGCAAGTTCTAGAGATGTAAGTCACATAAGTTCATCACACATGAAAGAATATGAGTATATGAAAAATGCACACTTTCAATAGGCTCAAAAACTCACATAGGTTGTATATGGTTACTATGTTCACATATGAAGCTTTAAGTCATGCTTTAATTTCACATCAACAAGGCTATGTGGATTTGGTTTTTCAAAGATGATTAACATGTACAAGGCTAACAAGAGAATAAGGAATTTCACACAACACATGCTTACTAAGTTCTTGATCATCGTGGTTCAAATTCAATCCAATTATATAATTGGGTCGGGAAACTAACAAAATCTACTTCAAAACAATAAATAAAACAAGACAATATTTTTGGATTTTCAAATTTTCTGAAAT